AGGACTGTTATGCTGCGGGGTGTCCTGCCTTGTCCTGATGTCACTGAGAGACCACAGCAGGAGCAAAGGGGACTCAGTTCCAAATTCTCACTCCTTCCTGATTGGCTCACCACCTCCTGGCTTATTCATCTGAATGAGCACATTTTGATTTGGCATTCAGAGAAGAGACCAAATGTCAACAACATGTAAGATTTGAACTTGTGAGTTTCTCAAGACATACTATCTCAGGACATATCTCTTCCAGTACCTTTGTGGTCCTAGAGAAAAATCCTTCCACTGCCCCATCAATACAAGGTCTGTCCTTAGTCCCAGCTGCAGCTTCAAGTACCATTTGGTCAACATCTACCCAACTGGCAGGACCTGCGCTTTGGACTCCTCTTTCACTGCTTTCTGTGGCAAGATGTTGCAGATTCCAAATCCAACAAGCACCAAATAACACTGTACTGTGCTCCGTCTGGAGTCCTTACTATCGTGATGGCCGTTCTCGGCCGTCAACTTGACCACATCTGGAATTAACTAAAATCCAGGTGACTGGGTACACCTATGAGGGATTTTTTTCTTCTATTGGTTTTTCGAGACAGAGTTTCTCTGTGCGTCCCTTGCTGTCCTGAAACTCACTCTGTAGGCCAGGCTGGTCTTAAACTTGGAGATCCACCTGCCTTTGCCTCCAGGAGCTGGGATTAAAGGCCTACACCACCACGCTGGGATATTTCACAAGCTTCAATGCATTTGATTACTATTAGGTCTCAAACCCCAAAATGAAGTGCCTAATTAACATATCAGAGTGGACCTGGGCGCCAGGTTCTCCCAGCATCCCTCTGTCCCTACCAGCTACAGGGTATGACTGGAACACGCATGCCCTACCCAGCCCTTTCCCCAGTGGCTCTTCCTATTGTATTACCCAGCCATTTTGGCTATGCCTGGTGCTCCTTACCTCCGTTTCCTTTTGGTCTCTTGGTCTCCTGACTCTCCTCTCTCCCCTCCCTGATCTCCTCACATGGCCTGACTCAGGGTCATGTCCATTTTGGACTCTCCCAGATGTCTCTGCCCATGGCTTTGCTCTCCCTCACACCTACAAATAAACTTTCTCCTCCACCAGACCTAGCAGCAGTCATGTACCCACCGTTTTTTTTTTTTCTTTTTTCTTTTTCTTTCTGCATTCATTTATCTTGATTCACCAGTTGTGAAAAGCAAAGGATTTGGTGACTCTGTTTATAAAACCTTGACAATTTATGGAAAACGATGATGCTGGTTTCTTGCTCCTAACATCACTGAATAAACTGACAAGGGAAAGAATATGCTCTGTGATGAAATTAACAAACTTCTAGCATCTCAGAATACAGTGAAGGACAACAACAAACTCAGTGACAAAATGGACCCACTCCAGATGTGCCTAAGTAACTTTGAGTTTTCTAAGTGAGCCCTGGGAGAGAATCTTCTCTCTGGCAGCCACAGAGCTCCCTCATTATAAGGCTGGCTGAATTACACCAAAGTTCAAGTCCCAGCCTTGGAGGGTGTGGGTGGCTAAATTAAGGCCATCGACTGGTAAAGAATGTGATCCTGTACGTGGACGCTGTTGAAGCTGAGAACTTTGAGTCCTTAGGTTCTCAAAGGTCCGTCTCACCTGAGGAAGTAGTCTCTCCACCCTCACCTCCTAAAATACCACCTTTCCAAACCCTTGAGGAAATTAATCTACCACTGTCTGCTAAACCAGCAGTGAGTTTCCCTGAAGGAGAAGGCAGACAAGATAATGCTGATGTCCCTCAGGGCTACCAATAATTGCCTCCAGATCTATAACCAGACCTACGGCTAAACAGGCTCCTGGAGGGAAGATAAAAAGTACAGTCCATGAGGAGGTTGCTACGTTAGTAAAGAGCTTAGTAAGTTTACTAATTCATTCCAGCAGATGTCTGGGGGAAGAGTAAAGGCAGGGATAAGGTGTAAGTAACATAAAACTGGATCAGGCTGAGCTTTTTGATATTGTGTGAAGAATCTAGATTTAATATGGAAAAAGTATCAACATTTTGTTGTTTTAATATTTATTTATTTATTTATT